CATCTTAGGACAATCGATGAATGTTTTGTTTAAATCTATTTATAATAAAATTTTTATTGACAAAACTTACAAGTGTTACAAATTTCGATCCTCTTGTCTGTTATCATGGTTTCGCCTTGTGCACCTAATGAGAAATCATAAACTTTGCTTTCCACTAAAGTATTTAAAAGAATAAATATCTATTAATAATATACTTCCTGAATATATGCACTGCTCCAATGTAATTGACAAAATTCCCGACTTTGATCTCATAGAAGTAGAAAAAGAACCCCAAGCAGATTTGTATGAAATTACTGTTACTTTTTTAAAGTGACTGTTCTCTTAAAGCGTAACTGATCTTAATGAAGGTTACTTGAAAATGTTGTCACTGGAAAGCCATAATAAATGGCACGCTTACCTGATTTTTTACTCTTCTTTTTCTTCGCATATCAATGTATACAAATTGGAGCTCCAACTCTGCGACTTTTACTACATTGAAATGGTATCGCGTTGATACTATAGCTAGTTTCCTTCATGAACTTCGCCAATATATCATCAATACACCCGGTAAATTCTCAGCAACATACTTGCCAAAACCGCCTAAGTCTGAACTACCCGCCAGCGTGAACGAGCGGTTTCCTGGGGCAGAAGGCTGGTTGTGTGAAGCTATAGGCGACTGGAACGCAAAGTTCGACTGTCTCTTACTTGCAGCTAATGTGATGGTGAATGTCAACAGGCTTGATCGAAAGTACCCAGAATATAAGACAGCTGGTGATGCTGAATATTATTGTATTCTATCGATCAACGAGCTCCTACATATGATTGCATCACCAGAACTGGGCGAGGTCATTAAACAATCTGCTTTTGAGCAGAGGTATGCTCTCGAATGGTATGATGATGCAGAAGATGCAAAGAGTATCAGGCTTGGGTTTTCAAGACTCCCAAGCTTCTCATCAAACGATGATCTGATCTCAAAGGTAAAAAATGGACCAAGCGGTGAACTTGCACATAATGATCAAAAGTTTGACGAATGAAAATTGTCTTTCCATAAATAAATCTTTTTGATTTCCTAGCTCTGGAAAGGGTATCAATGGAATCATTGGAATGCCCTATTGTTCTATCATTGTTACAGGGCCTTCTTTTTTGTGTAAGTTTTCATGGCATTTAATTTAGAGTGAACGCACAAGCAGAGATCCAATTGAATAGTTTGTATACTGCAGGATTAATAATAATTGAAAAGGCTGTTCTTTCTCTGTTAATGTTGCTACATGTAGTGCCATGGCAACATAAACGTACACTTGACTACTTTACAAGCGGCAGGTTGTATTCAGGGCCCACTTGTATTTCATTGTCCGCTTCCTTTTTTTTCTTTTAAAAAAATTTATGTTACTGTGCTATTCACTAGATTCACCTAGCAACCAAGCGATTGCCCTAGAATGAACCATAGAAACGAAATATACCCCGGGGAGACTACTAGGGTAAACGAAAAGCAGCAACGGGACCAAGACTAGAATAAATAATATGTTTTGTTATAGATCTCCTCCAAAACTGATCTAGATCGTGAAATGAAGAGAATCAAGAAAACACTATTAAAAACTAAGATGACAGAAGAAAATTGGGACTTGTTCAACAAGGCCATAAAAAACATAGCAACATGGTGCACAGAATACAAAATACACGAATATGTTGGATTTATAGATCATATCAAGGAGCTAAAAGAGCTAATCGTCACCTGTGTAAGTTGTTTTCGTTTGTGTCGCCTTTAATATAATCTAATAATAACTGTAGCTTACATCAGAACGCACTATTTTATCAAAAACAGCAATCGATTTATTAACCACACTATCTCAGCACCTGGGGACAAAATTTGAAACGATCAATAACATGATGCTTCCTACGATAAAAAACGTCTTTGGACGCTCAAGCAAAGTTCACGTAAACCGAACCGTAGAAGGATATAAACAGATAATACAGCATTCACTATTACCACGAACTATACCCGAATTCTGCAGTATTCTTTCAGTAGTTCAACGACAAGATCCAAGACGTTTACACTTAGCTGATTGCTTAGAGGTGCTCATCCGCGTCAATACAGAAGATAGGATAAAAAAATACAAGAGGGATATTGAATCAGCACTCAAAGTGATGGCAGTGGACGCTAATCTGGACGTGCGGCGGCTGGCGCGAGCATGTTTTGAAAGTTATAAGCAAAAGCTGCCAGAACAAGCTCATATGTTTACTCAGACACTGACAAAGGACGTGAAAAAGAATCTCATCCAGTCATCTACTGTAGCACCTCCAACGACATTGAATGGTGTACATCCAAAACCTAAACCACCATCTGCTGCACCTCCAACGACATCGAATGGTGTACATCCTAAACCTAAACCAACACCTGCATCCAAACCAATTTCAAACAAACCCACATCATCTTCAAAAGCTATGCAACCCCCTAGTACACCCATCTTTAGATACCGACCTATATCAATAAATCTGAAAGAACGAGTACTCAAAATCCAAGCGAGCCAAAATAAAGATATTGTGTCTGGAGTGACGTTTAGGAATGGTAAACCATACTACAAAAGACCGTCTCTCGTGAAACATGATTTTCAAATAAAAAAGAGAATTAAAAAATGAATCCAGTTCTTGCTTTTTTTGGGTGATCTGCTCAAGCTTTTCAGAGTGTGGGTGGTTTGCATAATAGGTTTCACAAATGGCTACGACGTATGACAGGTAAATTTAAATGACAATAAATTTTCACTTCGTGTCACACATCAGCAAGCTGTATCCATGACATCAGTAACCATGACTCAAAATGAGTGTACATTTATAATAACAGTTTTATTTCATGTGTGTGGGAAAGCATATAGACATGTAAATATGTATAAGTTATTGCAGCATATGTATAGACTATGTATATGTATAACTATTTATATAGGGAGAAAGAGTGTCGAATGGAAAGGTATATTGCAGTAGCGAAAGTTATTTATAATTCTTCTTCATCATACTCCTCTTCTTGTTCTTCTTGGTCAATTTCCTGCTTTATAAAAGATAATATGCTCCATTGTGAAGGGTGTACACCATTTCTAGGACATGAAGACTATGTCAAGTGTTAACACTATTGATTCATGTGTTGGATATTTACTTACTTGATGATTAGGAAGCCAATTACCGCATAATTCACAAGTAGCAGGACAGACAACGTATGGGATCATTAATGACTAAAAAGAAAAAAAGAATGCAGAAAAAAAAAATTGACAAATTTCTGTGTGTGGAGGGGATTTTATACTTTTTTTCTGAATTTATTTCTGTTGTTACATTATTTACAGTTTTTATTATGATTAATTTCCAGTAAAGTTCCCGTCATTTCTTTATTCTCAAGAGTACACAATCTAATATTAATTTTCTCAAAGCATCAATACGGCCTCTGCTATAAACTATATTCAACCAGCTATGCCCCCTAGTAACCAAGGGGTCATGATGTGACCCAAAGGAGCTTGGATTCTATTTGTAGCACAGGTGTATCCGACGTGATGTTCTGAGCCACGCACAATTCTGATATCTTTTTTTGTGTCTTTATCTTGCTTTTTGCACCCAGTTGCATCTGATTTTTTCGTTTTGCGTATGAGAAAACGCTGTTTTTTAACAGTAAAAGTTTTATTTATAACATAATTTACTAAAGCGCTGGCTCAAGAGCCAAGCACCTATCAAAAAATGAAGCAGAATACTTAATCCAGTTGTTGCAGTTGTCTATTCTGTTGACTCAGTAATTCTAGCACTCAAGCTATCTGTTGCAGCAAGACAGCCTCTATTTACGCCAGCTTTGATTTTCGGCCAAAAAAAAAATTCAACTGTACTCAGGAAAAGTGAATAAGGTGGTAAGTAAACAGCTTTGTATCCGCGACTTTCAATAAGCTCTTGGACAGCAGCGACCTTGTGTGTAGTGATGTTACCTAAGATAAGATAGCGACCGGACATTTCATGCTCGTCAAGTGTATCCATAACACTATTGATAAATTACATAAGATGCTCACTTTGCATACCAATTCTTGCGTTTACCTTCGGCACCTCAGCTGCTCCGCCATTATCCCTCTCTTTTTTATCAGAAGCACTTTTCTTCTAAACAGCCTTTGGTTTGCGCAAGGCTAAGTCATTAATACCTTTCTCATATACCGCCTCCAGTTATAATGGTGGTAATTCTCCTGCTGAAGGAAGCATGATTTTAGCTAGTAATATATCTTTGGTACCTGGCAAACGCTTCTCTTTATCATCTTTATAAGCACTGCTTTATTTACATATGCACTCGTTTAAATGTTTGTTTTCTATTCGAAGCCTCTGAGCCGGTGCTGGTCTCTGACAAAAGAACTGATTTCTTTTGCACCTAATATGTCTCTAGCCAACTTGAATCAGCAGGTAAGACAAGTCAAAGGTGACAGTGACTCAAGCTACGGACCTATGTAATGCGCTTGACGATCTGAAAGTGTTTAAACCTACGACTCATAGCATGCTCATGCAAGCAAAGCGCGAATACAAGAGTGACTCAATAATGATGTTGACTCTTACGGATTCTATATTCATGGATGGCTATGACGAGCAGGCCATAGTCAAAAAAGGAAAATGTCCTTAAAAAAGCAAGTTAGACAATCAAGATCAAGCTAGAATTATTGACATAAGCCTTGGTAAGGAAACGAAAACCAAGTGGAATGTGTTGCATTTTGGTTTTCAAATCCATCAGCATATCTGACAGACTATACGTCAATGCAAGTAAATGCAGCTTCATGGCATAAGTATGTATTAAACGCCAGATCGATCGAGAATCTCATTGCCCCTACTACGACCTCATCTGCAATATTATAAACTCACCTAAAACCCATGGAAAAAAAAAATGACTTGGTTACCAGAATCTCGGGTTTCTAGTTGCAAATGATTCGGTAAGTGTTTGAACAAATATCATGCACTGAGAACAAGATCTACGATATGGCCAATTTTTATGCATTAACGATATCCCGGGCTAAGGTGTGTATTGGTTAGAGAAATCTGAATCAATTATGTAAGAACCCAGTATGTTATCAGCTGACAGAAAGAGGAGGAGAGAGTGGGCATACTTAGTTTATCGTTTACAGCTTGTTCAAGAGTGATCCATAGGGTTACCGGACCTTGGATTAAAGTAATCACTAGTAGTTTGCGTGGATAGCCTTCTCATAATAGCAGTTCTTTTCTTTTTATTGAATTGAAAGATCTTGTTCATAAAGACAAATCTGATGATTTTTCTTGTAGGAAAAAAGTAATTCCTATTGTGCGTGTTTCGATACTATATCAACCAACAATTTTCTAGCTGACAAGTTATGAGAGAGAAACACTTTTTTCGAAATAACGTTGGCTGTTATTATCACGATATGGAAGGGGAGAAATGACTGTTGTTTTGATTTATATGTCATTTGGTAAAAAGCATAAAAGACTATTCACTCAGATCAGCTGACCTTTAGAGCCATTACGCATAATCAGGAATAAAAGATACAGCTACTGTAGTAGATTCATCCTGTTATGCACTATCTCAAAGGATTAGAAATTGCCATTCTATACGCGGGGTTAATCCGTTTGTGTTCTTTTGCTGGTCTTACTGTAATGAAGAATTCTTCTTTATGTACTCGGGTTTGTACAACCTTAAATCAGATAATAAAGCATTTTCCTTTTCATCTTTCAAAAGCATACAGATGAGACAAGGTAAATGAGAATAATAAAGACCATTTCAAATGCAATTATAAGGATGCCTTCACTGCGTCAAAGTTAAGTTGTGCTCAAGAACAATGATTGTTGTATTACAAAATTTCCACAAGAAGGTGATGCGACTTCAAATGTGAAGATATCCTTTTTTTTTTTTTTTTTTTTTTTTTTTTTTTTGCAAATAGGACCTTCTTGTGGTATTTTAATCCATGCTGATAAGGATCAATAAGCAATACTCGTAGTGGTTATTATTAAAGCTTAATAGCATAAACTAACCAATCAAGAAAACCAGTCCTAACAAACACGATACCATTCTCCCATGTAAGTTACTTAATACAGAATAAACTGAAGTTGCCAATGCTGTTTTCGTTTTCTGAATGTGATACCATATCTTTGAGTGACATAACTCCTATCAATATATGGTTATGCGCCTTTTGGCTTCAATTAAAGTTTCTGATGGCCATAGTATTGGTAACTCGTCTGAAAATTAATGTCTCCATTGTTACAGCGATTGTTGTTTTGTATTAAAGTTGTCAGTAAACCTACAATTACAAATAAAATTGATATATTGGATTTTCTGTAAAGCGTCTACTAGTAGCACAGTCAGATGGTTTTAGCTTTCTCACCCACATACGAAAATCGGCCGACTTGTGTTCCTTTAGGAGTCAATGTGGATGAATAATACTAATCATCAATATGTTGACAACTTAAAACGTCACCATGTTAACCTAATTGGATAATTATCTCTCACAAACTGATACCATCATCAAAACTGGAGGTCAAAGCACGTTTTTTTTTTGGCTTGTTTTAAAGCACGATTTAGTACAACTATTCAAAAAAAAAAACATGTGAAAAATATTGAATTTGTTACAAGAAATGATATGCACAATGTAAACAAAGGTTGTCATGGCAATAGTATCTTTGGTAACCGTAGCAGTCATGGCTTTATTCAATAAGTAAATCGTACTAAGCTGTGACATATTGAGTTTTATTGTTGAGATCTAATAAAGGGAATTTCATATGAATTGATCTTCTTTAACTAAAATTGGAATCGAAAATAAGGGAATACAAAAAAAAATATTTAGAATAAAAAATTCCTACTTTTCCCAAGACAACCTTTTTTTCCTTGTTACTGCATAAACAAAAAAAAAAAAAAATGAAAAGCTTTACAGTCGAAGTGGGTCCAGAACAACCTCAAGGCGGACGTACGAGAAGATCTATCTTTAGTCCTGAATCCTTAGTTCGTGTGCCTGCTCCTCATATCCATACACTCTATGATGTTCTTGTCCACAGCGCAAAAAAATATTCTGATCGAAAAGGCTTCGGCTTTCGTAAGGTAGAAAAGATAGTAGAGGAAGAAAAGGAGGTGAAAAAGTTTGTCAACGGCGAAGAGGTCAAGGATAAGAAGATTTGGAAATTCTTTCAGCTATCACCTTATTTTTACTTGACTTACAAGGAAGCCTCAAGACTAACCCATGATGTTGGTGCTGGTCTCGTCAAGTTGGGTCTTTGTGAGAAATCAAAGATTGAAATATTTTCACCCACAAAGTAAGCTTAGGATACACCCCCAGCTCATGATAAAGACTCATTGTTGTGTATATAGTATGTACTGGCTATTAACAGCTCACAGCTGTTTTACTCAAAACATGACCATTGTTACTGCATATGACACATTGGGTGAAGCTGGTTTACTTCATTCAATGAATGAAACTGAGGTGGAGGCTATTTATACCGTAGGTGAACTCTTGACGACCGTATCCAAGGTGGCGAACAAGTGTCCTTCTCTCAAATATATCATATACAGCGGCGAAATCAAAACGGACGTACTTGACAAAGTTCAAAAATCCGTCTCTCAACAGGTGGTGTCGTTGGATGAAGTCGCCAAATTAGGTAGAGAAAACCCAAGAGAGCCTAGACAGCCTGAGCCAGAGGACTTGTGCTGCATCATGTATACTTCGGGAAGTACGGGAAATCCAAAGGGTGTTATGCTTTCTCACAAAAATATCATTGCCGCCAGTAAGTGTTTGATAAAGCCTATAGAGACCAATGTTCTAATTTTTGGTAGTTGCTGGTGTTAATACAATTCTGGGTCATCTTGTTACTGACCATGATTCAATGATGGCATATCTCCCCCTAGCTCACGTCCTTGAATTTGTCGTAGAGAACCTTTGTATCTTTTGGGGTGTCACGTAAGTACCTTATTGTTTGTTTATCATGCATCATCTGATCTTGTTCATAGTCTGGGTTACGCCAACGTTCGTACTTTGACAGATGCTTCTGTTCGCAACTGTAAAGGAGATATAAAGGAGTTTAGACCAACCTTGATGACAGGTGTTCCTGCTGTATGGGAATCTATACGTAAAGGTATTCTTGCCAAGATCTCTTCTGCCTCTCCCAAGGCACAAAGGATGTTCCAAAAGGCATATGCTACAAAGGCTTGGCTCCTTGAGCGCCACTTACCGACAGGATTCATTGATAAGGTTGTTTTCAACAAGATAAAGGATCAAGTTGGAGGGAGACTTCGTTTTGCTCTTTCAGGTGGTGCTCCCATGTCAGTTGAGACACAAAAGTTCTTATCAGTCACAGTCTGTCCCATTTTGGGAGGCTTTGGCATGACAGAAAGTAAGTACACCCGTGTTCCTGAAGATATGATAACTAAATATTGTACTAGGCTGTGGTATGTGCTGTATCATGACGCCAGAGCAATTTGGATATGGTCAAGTAGGCGCGCCTGTTCCTTGTTGTGAGATTAAATTAGTCGACGTGCCTGAAGCCAACTACTATTCGACAAATGCTAAACCTCAAGGTGAAGTATGGGTTCGTGGCCCTGCTATCACAAAGGGCTATTGGAAACGAGATGATATCACCAAAGAAACGTTTACGGAGGACAATTGGTTAATGACTGGAGATATCGCTGAATGGAATGAAAACGGCACCTTGACCATCATTGATCGTAAGAAGAATTTAGTCAAGCTGAGTAACGGTGAATACATTGCTCTCGAAAAGTTGGAATCTATCTACAAGAGTTGTGTCTATGTGACAAATATCTGTGTTTATGCTGACCCTCTATTCCCTAAACCCGTCGCATTGGCTGTCGTCTCAGAACCTGTTATTCGCCGTTTAGCTACAGAAAAGAATGTGTCAGAGAGAGATTGGGAAAAGTTATGCTGTGACGAAACCATCAAAAAGACAATCTTACAGGCTCTGCTGGCTCAAGCAAAAGAAGGTGACCTGAAGGGCTCAGAGCTCATTTTTGATGTCCACTTATGTCATGAAGAATGGACTACAGACTCAGGTATGCTAACTGCTGCCCAAAAGATTAAGCGTCCTGAAATCACAAAGGCGTATAAAAAGGAATTAGATGACATGTAAGTTTTGTATATGCTTTAGCTAAAGCTACGACTAACATTTGTTTCTTATAGGAATGTTAAACAAAAGGTCTAATTTCAATAGCTTTGTATTTTTCAATCATATTCATTTCATATCATCTAATTGCTCCCTTCTTTTTCTCTCTCGCTGCAAGTCAGTGCATTGACCCTAATAAACATTGCTCTAATATTTATACAAAACAATCTGCATAATAGTATTCCGTGCCAATGATTGTACACATAAGAAACGACTTGGGTTTAAGCTATTTATTCATAGTCAAAAAAACATCTTACCCAAGACGCGAGGGGAAAGCTGCACGCGAGTAATCCAATAACAAGTTGGTTTTAGCTCCACTGTACAGGCATTCCAATGTGGTTTCAAATTCAGGTATCCTTGCCCTTTCATCTTCGTCCTCTTCTTCTTGACCAAAGGTTCCGTTCATCTTTATGGTTCGCACGTATTCAGTATGCTCAATAATTCTATCAAACATTGTTTCTAATCGCGATCGAAGCGCACCGTATCTACTCTCAAGCATTTCCCAACCAAATGGCTTATACGTTGTCATCCACATTTTGCGATGGTATTTCCATAAGCCATCTACTTCTTGTCGCAAAAGCATTAACCTACCATGGGCTAACTCTAACAAGAGTGTATGATCTTTTCTCTTATAAGCGTTTACACAGTATTTACGTAAAGAACACTTTAACGAAAGTGCTTTAGCAACTCTTCTGGGTAGCTCTAGTCTCTCATTAAGTGGGGCAGACAGTTTTTTAAGTTCAATCGCTTTTGATAGTTGGCGCTCAATTAAAGCATAATGGGACTCCAAGTCCTCATCCACATATTGAGGCGAAAGAAAGCCAAGCATAGGGTCTACATGTAATAGAATAGGTTATTGCTTTCGGCAAATGTGGCATGATCTGTACCTTCCCACAGCAACCATTTGCTCATATTTGGCATATAGTTTGTGTTTGGTGTCACGGATATTCCTTCAGGGGTATCGTCAATCTATTTTATACATGTTGATATCAAGTGCTAACTGGCATGATTACAAATTACCTTTGATGCAAATGTCCAGTCATCAAAATCAGCACCACATATTCCCTCTAAAAAAAGTGGTTATGTACTCTATAAATACCTCCATTCTTTTACATCGTTACCAAAACCAAGCTTTAATAACTCAATGTCAACTTCAGTATCTTCACAGTATCCATGTTGAGCATAATAAAGAAGTGCAGGTAATGCTGAAAAGATATCACACTCGTTTCCATCATCTCCCCAAGTGGTAATAAAGGTATTTTGTACACCATCTTCTTTGTTTTTAGCAGCAATCATACTTGCTCTTATTGCTTTTAAAGAAAAAGGTACTGCGGCCCAAAATCTAGTCCAGGTCCAGACACCAGCTAATGACAAGTATATTCTAGAGGCTTTATCAATAAATAACCTTTTTATACTTACTTGCAATCCAGGGCTTCAAGCATCCCATATCCCGATGTTGACGAATCTTTTGAGCATAAGTATCCGGATTGGTATGATAGTAATCCCAAAAGACCAAATCAAGATTAGGTGGAATCTTTTCGAGTAGTTCGGATGATGCAGGATTATTCAATTCATCGTAATAACCTTGTAATGAGTTATTTTTGGCAGCTAATGAAAAAGGTAAAAAGAAGTGAACAACGTTTCTTTGGGGCCTTGATTGTCTACCTGTCTTTTACCTAGACAAAAAATCACTTTATAATAAAAAGAGCTATAATAAGTTTTCAAAGGGTCATCTTTACAATTATATAAAGATTTTTTTTTTTCATGCGCAAGCTTACTATCTGACCAAATCATAGGTTGAAGATCATTTCTTGTACAAATTTCATGCACCTTTTGCAAATGTTCCATGAATACCAAGTTTGGGTCCTTGTATCCATACAAGTGACGATAGCGTCCTTCGCCTACTCCATGAGCCTAAGAAACAAATAAGTATGGATACTTCATCATCATCAAGTTTACCTCGTCCATGCCGATATGAATCCTCTTGGATCTAAATGGTCTTGCAGCTGATACAATCAATTTTTCGATAAAGTCATAGGTCGGTTCTGATTCTGGAAGCAGTACTTCAAAGTTATCGCGCAAATGAGCATATTGTTGCCACTGTAATACCTGACCCATATGTCCCAAGGTTTGAATACATGGTATAACTTCAATTCCTCTAATACAAAGTTAGACATTTCTATAAAAATATCGAGTTTCATCTATTACAGATCAAAGGCATAATCATCTACCAAGGACAACTCTCTCATTGTATATCGTCCTCTAAGGTATCCAAACAATGGTTCACCATCCACCTGTCGTATTCAATCATTAAATATAAGGTATGATGACCTGTATATATTTTTTATATTACTTCATATGTGTCCTCTGTATAAAGTTGGAGCATATTTAAGCCCATAAGAGCCATGTTATTCAACAAGAAATAAATGTTTTGAAGTCGTAGCACGCCATTTCTACTACAGTCAATCATAACCCTGAGAACACAAAAGTATATTAGATATAGAAATCATAACTCAAATTAGTACCCTTGTGTGTCAAACTGAGCCTTTTCTCTAAAGTTGACAAGACGACCATGCTCTCCTTGCATTATTGGGTAGGAGTTTCGTGCTGCTGCCAAAAGTCTTCCAATGGCGCGAAAGGCTACGCATACTGATAAACACATCGTTCATTATGCATAATTCAATTTTACCATCAATCTTTCTATGATATGTCACTTGTATTTCAAATCGATCTCCTGGCAATACTTCGGCGTAGTTGATATAGTTGCTCTTACAGATATATTCTCCTTCAACCAAGCCAGCGTCATATATAAAACTTGTAATGTTTGTGAATCCTAGTAGTATTTTATAGCTCATGTTCTTACTCAATGTGCCACTTGAATTCACTCATTTCTTCATTCATGGCATTTTCGTCTACTAGATTTCCATGAGGTGCATAAGAAATAAGCTTTGAAATACCGTCTTGTAAGTCAGTAGGCTGTCTGGTCGTATCAATCACAATCAACACGCTGCTCCTAGTATTTATAAACATGGAAGAAGTCGAGTTCTCTTGTAAATAAGGGTTAGTCATTACAAGAAAGAAGAAAGACTATGCATTCACACACAAATAGCAAAAATTTAAAATCAGATAGGTCCAAAACAGGTAAATAGTAGATTTGGTACAAAACAGTTGAATTTATTAAGCATATGTATAGATTATTCAAAAGTTTTCTAATCGTCGTTTTCCCTCTTTCTTTTTTTTTTTACTATAAATTCTATGATACAATAAAACCTGATGAATGAAAAGGAAAAATATTAAATAATTTAATCAACTTCTTCGATAGAAGGACCGTCGGCATCAGCGTTGTTTCCAGCACCAGGGAAACCGCCAGGAGCAGCACCGGGGAAGCCACCGGGAGCAGCACCAGCAGCACCAGGGGCACCACCAGCTTGTTGATAGAACTTCATCATGATGGGGTTGGCAACTTCTTCCAATTCCTTTTGCTTAGATTCGTATTCTTCCTTGGAAGCTTCTTGAGAGTCATCGAGCCACTTGATAGCTTCATCAACAGCAGCGGTAAGCTTGGTCTTATCTTCAGCAGGGAGAGCACCGCCAACCTTTTCATCTTGAAGAGTGTTGCGGAGGTTGTAAGCATAGGATTCGAGACCGTTCTTGGCTTGGATACGGGCAGCAGCAGCCTCATCTTCAGCCTTGTACTTTTCAGCTTCGTTGACCATACGTTCGATATCTTCCTTGGAGAGACGACCCTTGTCGTTGGTGATGGTGATCTTGTTGGACTTACCAGTAGTCTTGTCAAGAGCAGAGACGTTCAAGATACCGTTGGCATCAACATCGAAAGTAACTTCGATTTGAGGAACACCACGAGGGGCAGGAGGAATACCAGTAAGTTCGAACTTACCGAGAAGGTTGTTATCCTTGGTACGAGCACGTTCACCTTCGTAAACTTGGATGAGGACACCAGGTTGGTTATCGGCGTAGGTAGAGAAGATTTCGGACTTCTTGGTGGGAACAGTGGTGTTACGCTTGATAAGAGCAGTCATGACACCACCAGCGGTTTCAATACCGAGGGAAAGAGGAGCAACGTCCAAAAGAAGAAGGTCTTGAGTCTTTTCGGAAGTGTCACCAGAAAGAATGGCGGCTTGGACAGCAGCACCATAGGCAACGGCTTCATCAGGGTTGATGGACTTGTTGGGTTCCTTACCGTTGAAGAAGTCAGAAACCAACTTTTGAACCTTGGGAATACGAGTGGAACCACCGACAAGGACAATATCGTGAACTTGAGACTTGTCAATCTTGGAGTCACGAAGGACCTTTTCGACAGGTTCCATGGTGTTACGGAAGAGATCTTGGTTCAATTCTTCGAAACGAGCACGAGTCAAAGAGGTGTAGAAGTCAACACCTTCAAAGAGAGAGTCGATTTCGATGGTGGTTTGAGCAGCAGAAGACAAGGTACGCTTTGCACGTTCACAAGCAGTACGAAGACGACGGACAGCACGGGCGTTACCGGAGATGTCCTTCTTGAACTTGCGCTTGAATTCTTGCATGAAGTGGTTGACAAGACGGTTATCGAAATCTTCACCACCCAAGTGAGTGTCACCAGCAGTAGCCTTGACTTCGAAGATACCATCTTCAATGGTCAAGAGAGAAACATCGAAGGTACCACCTCCCAAGTCGAAGATCAAAACGTTGCGTTCACCTTCAACCTTCTTGTCCAAACCGTAGGCAATAGCGGCGGCAGTGGGTTCGTTAATGATACGTTGAACGTTCAAACCGGCAATCAAACCAGCATCCTTGGTGGCCTGACGCTGACCTTAAAAATAATAAGAGACCGTTCGCACTAAAATTTCACTAAAAAAAGAGACTTACTGTCATTGAAGTAGGCAGGAACAGTGATGACGGCATTCTTGACGGTACCACCGAGGTAAGCTTCAGCAGTTTCCTTCATCTTGATAAGAACCATGGAAGAGATTTCTTCGGGAGTGAAAGTCTTGGTCTCACCCTTGTATTCAACTTGGATGATAGGCTTGCCTTCCTTATCAATGACCTTGAAAGGCCAGTGCTTCATGTCAGATTGAACTTCGGGTTCGTTGAAGCGACGACCGATCAAACGCTTGGCGTCAAAGACGGTATTGTAAGGGTTCATGGCGACTTGGTTCTTGGCAGCGTCACCAATGAGACGTTCAGTGTCGGTGAAACCAACATAAGAGGGGGTGGTACGGTTACCCTGATCGTTGGCAATGATTTCAACACGATCGTTTTGCCAAACACCAACACAAGAATAGCTAAGGTGGATGTTAGTCATCTTCTTTCTGACGCGCTTTTTGTGTGTCATAATACTTACGTAGTACCCAAATCAATACCAACTGTTCATAAATAAGCAGAAAAAAAGAGAACTGATTAAATAAAACCAAGTGATAGTCTTTTTATGAGAACTTACCAGACTTTCCTTCAGACATCTTTATTATAAATAAAAAGAAAAGGGGAAAAGCTCAAAAAAAATTTTCACCTTTTTTTAAATACATCTCTCTTTGCGCAAAAATTGTGACAAGTTTGGAATAACAAAGAAAATCATGGAATTTTATTATCAAACTGAGCTTAAATTGATTACTGTCCAATCTTTGCTACTTCACAGATAGCGCACACCTTGCCTTCATATTCAGGCTTATAGGATGCTTTACAATAACAACACGTTTTCTTGGGTGATCCTCGGTAAATAGGCTCAAAACTATAGGCACAAACATCGAATGGGTTATGCTGATCATAATTTAAAGTCATTTCATCTTGTAAAGTGCGTTCACAGACACTTTGAATCTTGCGGGCCTATTAAGATCGTGAATAACCAATTTCAAATATAAAATTTCATTGTTCCTTCTCCTTACCTCATCAGCAATCTTGAGCGGAGGTGCTAATTCAAGTAATCGAGTGGCAAATCGTGACGCTGTACTAAAATTCTTTGCCCTGAATGCTTGTTTTGTGGCCTGACGTAATGCCAGGTGCATATGTTTCACCTGCAACTCACAATGAGTAAAGTAAGCTGCCAGTTCCAGGGCACGCTTGAGTTCGTCGGGTGAGGTACCTTCAATCGATCTTCGCTTTTGTTCCAAGGAAAGACCCAAGAGATATTCACGACAAATGTCCACTAGTTGAGTTAACTCATTGGCTTCTTCATCACTATTTGTCACAGTGAATAAGGCAATGTGTACTAGTTGCTTGAATAGCTGTGAAGAAGCAGCCAGCTTTCCGTTTGAGAACAGTGAGTACGCCTGTTGGATCAGTGTAGAAATCGTATTTTGGAAAGTATAAACTGCTACAGGTAAGGCATTACGAGGTGAAGATGTTTCTGGATTTCTGCGGAGAGGTACAGAACCGCTGCCACATACATGAGAGACATGGGCATGGGAAGCTTGATAGATGGCCAAGAAATGAGGCTTCAATGGTTCGAAATGAACAATTCCCTTTTGTCGATTAAGAACCTGCATGGCACTGTCAAAAGCACCAGCTGCGATGTGATCAGCAGCAATATTGGAGTTTTGCGTCCAAATGAGACTTTCGCTTACACCCTCTGTTGGAGCAACAAATTCAGCAGTTTCTCTGGCTGCGACACTACCCATTTGAGCATCTAATTCAGCCTTGATATCATCATCATCGTCCCATCCACCTCCTTCTTCTTCGTCTGGTACGCCAAATTCATCATCACCTGTATCTAAAAGATTATCTTGTGCAGGCTTAGGAGCACCAGTCAAGCCCAAATCGTCATCATCATCTCCCCAGTCTCCACCTGCTTCTTCGATTGCGTCATCGTATGTGAAACTAGGTTTGTTGATAACAGAATGAATGTCACCAGATACTCGAGTATCTTGTTGCTGTTGTTGTTTGACAAAGGCACCTTCAAAGAAACTCTTGGATACGGTCAAGAGTGGCCAATTAGGATCCTCCAAGTGGGTAACAGGCTGAGGAATAGAGGGCAGAGGCTCTTCTGATTCAGGTAACTCAATTTCATCTTTCGTCTTTCCTGATGCGGCCAAAATGGATTCAGCTTGTTCTGTCAGTCCATGTGATTTGGCAGTCATATAAGCCAAGGGTAACTGTCCGACGTCCACAAGCATTTGAATGCGTTCCTGTATATCGCCTAAATAGACAGAATTCTGAAATCGTTGCATAGGATCCTTTTGAAGCTTGGAAATTTCCAACATCTTTGAAAGGTTGGTCTGATTGCCCTCCAACAGGTACAAGAAGGATAACTTGTCCATCTTTTTGATGCGTTGATAACATAACTCAACAATCTATATATCAACAGTTTGTTATCATGTTCATTGTTTATATTTAGATGAACATACCTTGAAGTTACCGTGGTTTAAGGCTTCAGCACTCAATTTGGCCCAGTGATCAGGCTTGTTCATGGCTCTTGCTGTTTCCAAAGCGACGTCCAAATTACCGCATTCAAGTGCCAATTCGAATCTTGTTTTATCATCCCTGACAAAATGTAAAGCAATTTCTGGATATCCCTTCTTTTGCAAATAAGCAATAATGGATTGACCGACCAAATTGGATGTACGAATGATATGAAGCACTTCTTCATATTGTTTCTTCACCAAGGCCAACTTGAAACGATATTCAGTGGGATCAATGGTGATTTCGCGAACCTTGCCATCACGGTCAAGAGCAAAGAGTTTCTTGCCCTTCATGCGTGTCAAATAGACGGGTTGATCGAGTGTACGAACGATGCCGTTATCACCTTCGGTCAATGCATACTTGATGTGGTTCAGAGTACAGTAGATGAGAACGTTGGAATCATCCCAAGTAGCGCTTTTGATGCGAATTGTTTCATGAATTTGGCTTGTTTGGCGTAATTCTTTGGTGGCAATCGTAATTGTGTGCTTGCTGATCAAAGCAACCATGGACATATCATTAGACCAGGCAACGTATTTTACAGAAGAAACGGTCAATTCAGAGACAACACGGCGTTGTTGAATATCAAACAAGATGACCGAGGTAGGTGTAGCCATAAGAAGTGACCCAGGTCCAGCATAGAATATATCTGTGGCTTGAGAAGGTGTTCTAAATGATTTGGTTTCCTTGTTAGAAAGATCACGAATCTGAATGACTTGGCTTGTTTTATCAAACACAGCAAATCGGTTACGGGCGATGAAAAGAGCAGCATGGCCTGTGCCCTTCATTGATTCATCCGAGGGCTCTTGCAAGGTTCCGCCCAAGTTCTTGGGTAGACGATACAACTCGTACGTGCCACCCTCAAAAGGTGATGTAAGCAATACAGCACGCTCAGCAGGATTGTAAGAAAGTGTACGAGGCGCAACAAATTGAGATCCCAATTTACGAACAGACATTACTTCTTGATCAGCAGTGCTGGGGAAATCATGGATATGTAAAATGTTGTTCTTGACGTAAAACAATTCGTTGTTATGAACCTGGAAAGCAGGACGCTCTCGTTCTAGTTTAAAAACGATCAAACCGCTATCATGACCAGCAGCAAATAAATTGAGTTCAGGATGTGCCGTTAAGACCCAGAAACGGTCATGGTCTCTTCTGAATGTAGCCACGGCAGTACGTTTCGTGAGATCCCAAACACGAATTGTTTTATCTTCACTATCAGATAAGATGAGGTCTTGTCGAGGATGGAAAATGGCACTGGAAACGTTATTGTAGTGACCACGACAGCTATCGACTTCCCAAGCCTTTGTGTCTATTTACAGCAATTTAGTACGTGTTACCAAGTTTATATGCTCGACTTACCATTCATTCTCCAGAGTTTTACTTGACGGTCATCACCAGCCGAGATGATCAAAGGCAATGTTGGATGGAAAGAAGCCCAGTTGACACCATGGTCATGTCCTTCCAAGACATACTTGACCATAACATCCGTAGTTCCAAACATATCACTACCTGGTCCAGCACGACTCATATCTTCAAATGACATTGCAGTGGGTGCTTGAGATTTTTTACGTAAACCTGTAATATCCCATACACGAACAGTTTGGTCCATAGATGCTGAAACAATAAGGTCAGTCTTGGGATGGAACTGAGCACACATCACATAGTGATTATGTCCTGTCAAGATAGCAATACAGGCTCTTGATTGCCAATTCCAGATACGGATTGTTTGGTCGTCTGAAGCAGAAATGATCCAAGGAAGCTCGTGATGGAAAAAGACGGTACGAACATAATCGAGATGACCATTTAAAGTGAATAAACAACGATGAGTTTTGTAATTCCAAACTTTGATCTTGTAGTCGTCGCCACCAGAGACAAACAATGGCTGAGTAGGGTGAAATGCGATGCCTCTTACGGGCCCTAGAGAGAAAGAAAGATGGTTAATAAAAGTTCATTATAAAAGAAACTCTTTACCATCGTGTTCTTCAAAACGTTCGAGTAAAGTGCCCATTCGATAATCCCAGAGTTGAATGCAACCATTATGTAAAGAAGCTAAAATCCAGGGACGCTTGGGATGAAATGCAACACCTTTGACACGGTTGCTTTTTGATTCAAACTAATCAGGTGTTAGAGATGATGTCTATTTGCGGTGTAAAAAACTTGGGAGAATACCTTTGTAAGCATCTGCATTTTGAAAAACTGTCAAGTTCTACCAAGATTGAGTCAGTATAAACAATTGTATGTACGCGTGTGAGTTCTAACCTTGCTTATTTTATTTTGCTATTCTAGTGTCTATTTCTACTAAAAAGAGCAAAAAATTAAAAAAAAAGAGAGAAAGAGTCAGTTGAGTTCCTTAAAATACAGCCTACAAACAGCTTACAGCTATACACAAGTAAACACGTTCGCTCACACACAAAATGAGAGAGAGAGGGAGAGAGAGATAAATAGAAAGTACTATATTATGTATCCCTTTTTTCAAAAAAAAAGAGAGTATACAGAAATACTAACAAAAGTGACAATAATCAGCAAATGTGTGTATATGTGCTTTGATAGAGTTGAACTTCACAGGATGAAACGGAGATTGTAACTTTATTAACCAACCAATCAAATAAGCATTCATGACGTGTCAGGAAGAGAGGACGAAGAAGACGACTGGTGCCTTCTGATGCTTGTACGAGGAGAAGGTGACCTTGATCGTTTGGTTGGATGAATAGATTGACCCGCTAAAAAACTAAATAAAGACTCTAATCGATATATAATTTCTTGATTTCTTGGCTCTGCATTTATGGTTGCTTTTGTTGTTGTTGTTGTTGCTATGGAGATATGAGCTAGTCTTTCAAACGGCGGATCATCCAGCTTGATATAATGTAATGTGGTCGGTAATGGTTCTAGTTTAGTCGTGTTTTTTGAGCTAGGCTGATCAAGAGCGTACTCCCTGAATGTGCATGGTATCTTATTATCTTGTTGCAGTATGGCTAAATCAGTGGCGAATCGGGTCAAATGATGGCATAGCTGCATAAAGAGTTGATGATCAGATTGAATAGTAATCGAAGTGAGTGAATGAGCGAACTGATCAAATATTAAAAAGTAACCAAACCAAGTCAAAGGAAGGTTAACCATTCGAACATCAAGAATTCCGTAATTACGTGTAATTTTAGTTATTGTTTGCTTAATAAACTGATCAGTGATTGAAGGGTCATTGACTGGAAACAGAATATCCTTTGTCCAAACAGAGGGCTGTGCATAGATACAATGACATAACTTTTTGTGTGCTTTACCTAGTTCAATGATATCTCGTAATTCAAGGTATCTTGTTATTCTTATAATAACCTTATCAGGTAAAGATGTCAAATGGCTCATAATAAATAGAAGAAGAAAAAGAAAAGCAAAAGAGAGAGAGAGAGAGAGAGAGAGAGAAAGAAAAGGAAAAGAAAAGAGGCTTCAGAGAAGTAAACAAACACCTGACTTTTAATTCCTATTGAACGAACACACACATATATTTCTTATTCTTTACATTTTATTGTAAAATAGATGATGGCAGTGAAAAGGGGAATCCTATTGTTTTTATTATTCTTTACTGCCATCTATTGTCAACAAGACGCAGTAGAAGGTTTCTTTACTCAGAGTGGCCATACCAATAATTGGGCAGTATTAGTAAGTTCAGAATATATCATTGATTCCTTCATTTACACTTAATTAATAGGTCTGCACTTCTCGATTCTGGTTCAACTATCGACATGTTGCCAACACACTTTCTATCTATCGAACTGTTAAACGGCTAGGCATTCCAGATTCCAATATTATTCTTATGCTTGCAGACGATGTTTCCTGTAATCCACGTAATCGATACCCCGCTACAGTCTATAATAATGCTGCTCGCCATATTGATCTCTATGGCAATAATGTAGAAGTTGACTATAGAGGATATGAAGTAACAGTCGAAAACTTTATAAGAATGCTCACAGGACGTGTGGCACCTAATACACCAAGATCAAAGCGGCTATTATCGGACGATCGTTCCAACATTCTAGTTTACATGACAGGGCACGGAGGTAATGAGTTTCTCAAGTTTCAGGACGCTGAAGAAATCAGTGCCTATGACTTGGCGGATGCATTCAAGCAGATGGCAGAGAAGAAGAGATATAATGAGATCCTGTTTATGATCGATACTTGTCAAGCAAACACGATGTATAGCAAAATAAACTCTACAAACATTTTAGCCACAGGGAGCAGTGAATTAGACGAAAGTTCTTATTCGGTAAGTATTGTATGAAGTAGTGAAAGGATATGACTGACTGTAGAGCTACTTTATAGCATCACACTGACCATGATATTGGTGTTGCAGTGATTGACGGCTTTACTTATTATAACTTAGAAGTATTGGAAAATATAGACATGACGAGTGAAATGACGCTTCAGGATCTAGTAAGAAATAACTACAATAGAGCCAATCTATATATTCTTACTTTTTGTGTATGTGTAGTTTAATACATATGATCCTATTAAGATTGCTTCTCATCCTGGTATTCGTTCAGATTTGTTTAAACGACCTTTGAACAAAGTTAAAGTGACAGACTTCTTTGGTAATGTGCAGAATGTGGAATTAACAAAGACAAAGTATCCTCTGGAAGAAAATATAGACGATGTAAATACTTTGTATATTGTCAGTTAGTGTATCTAACACATATCATAGGAACAGGAGAATACAACAGTAAATCCATACAAACATACCACACATCTACGCATACAACAACAACAACATCTACATCATTCATTTCTTGTTCAAAAAGATACAACTTATATCTCGTCTTTATTAGGTTTAGTTTCAGCTATAGCCGTTATTTACTTTACATATCTTACACTAGTGTAAATAAAATGTATACATGCAACCTCACCTCAGCCATGAGAAACCTCAGATACATAGGAGGCAGACGGCATGTACTTTATCTTTTTTTAATGTAGGCTTCCATGCTGGCCATACCGATAACTTCTTTATCGTGTATGAGTTGCTTTCATGGGGCCAGAAAGAGAGAAGATGAAAGAAAATTCTATGAAGCTCAGGTTCATTTTTAAAGCAAAGACAGTTGCCCACAAATTAGTAGTCACAGAATCAAAAAAACAGGTTCAAGGATCGGACTTGAATAATGATAACAATGTAAAGTTGTGTTGAATATTATGCATCCGTAAAATTGTTAAAATAGAGTAAATGTTATTCAGAGCCTTTAGACCATGTTACATTTGGTGAAGTATTGGATATATTGCAAATAACTTCTTAAGTTTCCATTACTGTCCTTTTGATTTCTTTCGGGTGATCTTCATTACTGGCTCAATGGGACTAAAATCCGTTATTTTCACCAAAAAACTGACGTCAAATTGCTGCGGCAATTCTGATGTTTCCCACAATCGAATGACATAAATTGAGATCGACTGTGCTTGTCTTTTTTCTTCATTAAATATTAAGTAATATGCAAGGTTCTGAGCGTATCTTTGTTGTCGGTGGAACTGGTAACATTGGAACGAGTGTTGTTCGTGAGCTGCTTACCAGAAACGTGCCCGTAACACTATTTGCCCGTGATCCTGCAAAGGTGAATGCTCTCTTTGGTAATAACAACCTCATTCAAGTTGTTCCTGGCAATTTTGATGACCTCAGTCCTTTGAAAAGTTCATTGACCGGTCATTCAAGAATGTTTCTACTTATAAGCGATATTGAAAGATATGTGCAATTGAAAACAGAGATTAGCCAATATGCCTTTGAGTCAGGCATAAAGCAAATTGTTAACCTCTCAGATATCCTAGCCAGCTATCCTTGGCGTACCACTTACTTAGGTCACCGATCTAGGATTGTAGAAGAAGCTATTTTGAATATGTCCAACCGTGGCTACTGCGTTTCTCTACGTCCCACTCGTTTGATGTCGAATTTTCTGGTCTTTGAACGTCTACAAGACAATGTTACTTTTGATACTATTGACGAAGACAAACCTCAAGGGTGGATTTCTCCAAACGATATTGGAGCAGTGGCTGCAGCTATTTTGACTGAGGATATAGAAAAGCATGCCGATGCTGTTTACGAGCTTAGTGGTGATGCCATTACACCTAAACAGCGTGCAGAGATCTTTGCTCGTGTGCTTAATCGACCTGTCACATATAAAAAGATATCAGCTGCTGAGAAATACCAGACATACGTGAGCTGTGGTTGTCCTCATCTTGTCGCTTATACGGCGTCTACTTCCATGGCCTCTATTGATGCTCATTCTGCATATATCACGGATGGTATCGAGATTTTGATAGGAAGAAAGCCTGAAACTCTCGAAAAGTATGTTCTTGCTAACAAGGACAAGTTTTAAAAAAAAAAAATAAAGCTGATAAATAAACTTTTGATTACATCATTACATGATGTTTAAAAGGATAAAGAAGACAGCTTATCATTTAATAATAATAGTAAATAATAGTAATAATAATGATGGCACTATTCCTGTTTTTTCGTATTAAGCGTTCCGACTATTTTATCAACTGGAACCTTGCTATATATGTCATTTCCAAGCTGTCTCCACGTTATTTCCCTTTCCTCTGGCTGTGGCTCCTTTGAAGTGTTATTAACCCAGTCATTTAGTTCTTCATAGTTGTACAGGTTGGCCTTATAAAACATATGGAGGAAGCCGCCGATCACTGGGATTAAACTAAAGATAAAGTCCACAAAAATATTCAACAACATATGCATTAATAACCACAAGGGTATACCAAAAGTAGTTGACAAGTATACTATTTGTTTTTGCTTAGCACTCTCTCTCTCTCTCTCTCTGGATTTATTTATCAACATATTATATACTTACTTTGATACATGGAGAGAACGACACTCATTGCGCCACCTACCACAGGAATAAAACCCTATAACTGTATAAGAATGTTTTAAGGGATGATCCATTACTACCGCTTACCAAAAGTGAATCAATACCTAATGGAATAGGTGAATGAGGTACAGCATTATCCAACCATTTGGCCAGTCTTTCAATCTTTTTCAACAGCTTTTTCTTTTGCTTGTCTGTCATTGTGTGTTTGGGTAGAGTTTGATGAAGGTAAGGATAATGTCTCTCAGCAGAGCGAAGTTGTCGATTGCCTTGAACACGAACTGCTTCGACTATTTCTGGAACATGTATCTTTTCTGCTATCTTGCCTTTAACGTAATTCATGATTATTTTTATTTAATATATTTGATAATAAAGAAGAGTTGTGATTTTAATGCACTTTTTATACATAAAAAAGCAGCTTAAACTGAGCAAATCATGAATCATTTTTCCTTTTTCGCTTCGTCATTATTACGTATTTCTTCTATTTCACGCTCTACCAATCTTGCTCGCCTACACCAACGACGACGTCTCGTGAATGTTTGAATACCAGGCATACCACTCAATTGCTTCCATGCATTATTTCCATACTCCCATCCGTTATGATCTACCTTGCCTTCTAATTCACCCGTCATATCCACCCACCAATCTCCGTCTGCCCAGGTCCATACTTTACGCGTTGTACGTTTGATTGTCTGCTTCTCATTGATTGTCTGATAGGTTGTGTTTGATGTACTTTCTGGTAATTGAAATTCTTCTTTACTAGGTATAGGCTTCAATTGGCTATCTGTCCATGGTCCACGTTCATTGGGCATCATGTTGGTTGTCCAGTGAACACCTAACCACCATCTCTGCATACACAACTGTTAATTTATGAAAACAATAACAAGGCTAATATCTACCTGATTCTCATACACTTCAAATTGAAAGATCATCTCAGTACGTGTGCCCTTACTATCATCTTGTTGTGTTTCCATAGGCTTTTCTATCATGGAGAGAGCGTTCGCCTTTGTCTTTTTAGCACGATGGAGCATGGTTCGAATACGCTCTTTAAATTGTAAGTCGAAGCGAAAGATAGACAAAATCACGGCCACTCCATAAGCCCACATGGCAGCCAACAGATGCTTCAAGACGATGTTACGACGCATACTACTGACAATGATTTGAAACCAAGGGGAAGGGCTGACAAGAAGGACAGCACCCACAATGGCCATAATGACTTGAGCACCAAACCACCAATTGAGTAAGATCCAGAGAGGTGCAACATACATCAGGACACTCAGCACAGATACTGGATTAGATTCACCAATAGTATTGATAGCTCGTTCAATATATCTCTGAGAGTGATCCAAGAACGCATTGATGATCACTAAATCCTCCAAGGTATCATCCAGCGATACCTGTCCAGCAGGTCGAATCTTTCTCGAAATCAATTCATTTGCTTCCTCCTCCTTTTGTTGTTCCAAATAACGGCTTCGTTCGTCATCATCATCTTCTTGTCTTAGTTTCTCTTCTCTTTTCTTACGCTGCTCTTGACGCACTTTTTCTAGGTTCTCTCGGCGAACTCGGTTCATTCTTACTGCTAACCAGTCTTGAGCCAGTTTGTAAAGTATCAGACCAGGAGGGCCCAAGGCAAGAAGTTGCCAAGTCCAAAGACAGGTCATGATCCATATCAAGACCATCAGAATAGAAAGTCGAGGTTGTGATGATTTCCACATGATGACTTGAGCTAGTTGAGCAATATATCTTAGTGCAGGCCCTAATGACACCAATAGCTTGAGTACAGGTGTAGGTATCTGGTCTAGTGTTTTAACAGTATAGGGTGACGTAAAACTCATCGCTTCTGAGCCCATGTCTTTCTTTTTTTAAAAGAGAAAAGAAAAAGAAATAAAAAAGTTGGCAACTCTACTAAAAATACAGACGTATTTCACATGCAAAAAGGGACCATTGTATGACATGAAACCTTCTTTATGATCACGTGACTATCATAAGTCATTTTACATACACATCAATCTATTATACAATGAAGCCTACACAATTGTCGTCCTTTTATTCCTTTCTGTGTTTACATAAAGAGGGAGAAAAAGGATGGTTGAATAAAGAAAAACACAGCTGTCAGACGTGACTTTTAAAAAGTTCATTTTGCATAAAAGTATTCTTTTTCTTTTTTTCAACTCTTGATGTCTGTGCAATTACTAGACAAGTTAACTATTCGACATTTACATTCTGGACAAGTCATTGTCGATGTTGAGTCTATAGTAAAAGAACTTGTTGAGTAAGAGAGAAAAAATATAAAGAACAGGATTGAGCTCTTTATTAACTTATCACCAAAGAAACTCACTAGACGCTTTGGCTACTGTTGTAGAGATAAGACTCATAGACCACGGTTTACACTCAATACAGGTATACTACCAGTTCATTTTTCTTATTTTTTATATTAATAAGGGATTCCAGGTGAAGGATAATGGCTCTGGCATTGATGAAAAGGATCGTCCATGGATAGCCAAACCTCACTCTACTTCTAAAATAAAAAGCTTTCAAGACCTCGAAAACATTGAAACATTTGGGTTTCGAGGAGAAGCACTGCATTCGATATGTACCATAGCCAAAGATATGTCACTGACCACAAAGACAAGGAACGATTCAGTTTCGAAGAAATATGATATTGATTCAACTGGGAGCTTGATCAAGTAAGCTTTAAAACGTAGTCATAAAAAAGGATCACTTACAGCACATCTATCACAGTGAGCAATCTGTCACTGTGTTTGCAGAAACAGGCACAATGATAACCATTCAACAACCATTTATCAATTTACCAGTTAGACGACAGCTGGCACAGAAAAATGCACCAGCCATTGCAAAGAGAGTACAGGATGTAATAGTAAAGTATGCCCTGGCTCATCCTTCGATACGCTTTCTACTTTATGATGCACCTCAATCAGCTGGAAAACCATCTGTATGGATAAAACCACCCACGTCAGATATAGAGGGATCTATAACTACCATCTTTGGATCCCAATTATCTAAAATGTTGGAACGATGTATTGAAACTGACCCTCAGCATACTTCATTGACAGTAGATGTCTTGTTGCCAAAGAAGAATTCAGGCAAGTCAAAGGAAAAGAAGAAGAAGTAAAAAAAAAAAAAAAGCTACATTTATTCATATTGCTTCTGTTTAGATCCTTCCGTCATCCTGAAAGGGAATGATCGTGTTTTCTTTTATGTTAATCAGCGTCCCATTCATTATGTGAAATCAGAATTAAAAGAGTTGGTGACAACCATAAGGACTCGATACAGAGAAGTAGTCGGACTGAGTGAAGGTTTGTTTTATCATTATATTAAAAGAAATGAAAACCTAATCATCTCTACTTTAGCTGTTAGTTCTAAAAAGACTCCCTTCATTTATATCGATATTCAATTGCCTCCAGATGAAATTGATGGCAAGTATACATACTACTGTTACAGCAGTTATATTAACGTTTATACTAGTCAATGTTGAGCCAAATAAAACAGCAGTTCTGTTTCATAACAAGCAAAGAGTGATCAATCACGTTGAATCTATTCTAGAAAAAATATATCCATCTAGGATAGAATCATTCTTTCAGCAGCCCTTAAAACCAGTGAACGTATCAGCAGTAGACAAGTCGCAGGAAAGACCTCAGCAGGCTGGCAAAGAAAACAATAAGTACGCAGCTGCCAAAGATATCACAAACTGGCAAATAGAACCTTCATCTAAGCCTAAAGAGAGTAATAACAATAGTAGTTTACCACCTGTAAATAAGTCAGTAACGCTTCCATACAAATCACCTTTGAAAAAAACGCCCATCGAGACCAATTATTCCGATCCTGCAAAATCAATACCATCAACCAGTGCACCTACTACACAAAAGGTTATCCATGCTCCTGCTGATGCATCTTTTGTATCATCCATACCTAAAAATGGTACAGCTAGTGTTGTCCATACTCCGATGGCAATCGTTTCAGAGCTTTCAAATAGAAACAAAGAAACCTCACATTCAACAACTTCCATAGCTTCTCTTTTCAAGCGGCCATCTAAAGCGACACCGAGGCTGATCCCTAAAGCCTCTTCCCATCAATTACCGGCGCCCAGGGAACCGATTAGAAATAACCCACCTCCTTCCAAGAGCCTCTTGGAGATGTTTGGCGCAAGAGCAGATACCCCACAACAAATCCCTCAAAAACGTGCATTACCAACAGTTGAGCAACCAACGACACCTAAGCGCAACAAAAGTACACTCAATGAGACGATGACGATCGATGTCGATATAAACATGATTCGTTCTAATTATGCCAAACGCAAAGAGCAGCTAGCAAAGACGTACCATATAAGTATTGAAGATTATGTGATGATGCAGTTAGATGGAACACCATTTACACAGTTTATAAACTATTCAGATCAGTTTACCTTTTTTATCAAAGGTATACGGCCTACGGACGATCAGAGAATTCACAAGCTCACACAATTGGGTTTATTGAAAATGAAAGAGTAAGTGTTTGAAGTGTTCAGCGGGTGTTCATTCATTTACCATGTGCATTTTAGCATTCAAATTCATTGTATCATGAACAAGTTAATTCAAGAGCACAAGCTCATATGCAAGACAAAGTTGGGTAGACCCGTACAAATACAATTGAGTACATCAGATCCTTTATTTTCTACATTGCTCTCGTTAGAAGGCAGAGAAAGGCTGATTGATGATGATCTTCATGGAAACAAGCATATTACATTTAAAGAGGTAACAGATGAACGTGTTGTTCATAACGGATTTCTCGTCCGATGGAGAAAAGGTAACCGTAACGGCGTCTGGGGATGTTTATAATCTGAACTCTTTTTTCTACATAGAACCTCACATAGATCATGCTATCATCCAATTTATCAGCATCTATCCCCTTGGCTCTGGATATGGGCCTGCCGACTTCCGGGAGTTGTTATCTGATCTCAATAAGCGTCCTACCAAAGTCTTGACACATTTTAAATCGTTGGCTCAAGAAATGATAACACAAGGATACACGCTTGATCAAGAGCAACTTGAGCATATCATCGATCAGTTACATTGGCAAACGATCAGTGACTCTGAATGGCGATTAGGTGTATTAGACTCGAATATTGTAGCATGCATGTTGCTAACAAGCACATAAAAAAAATAAAATTAAAAATATGTATATATGCATGTATCCTATTTTATTTTCTATTGCTATGAGTTGATTCGCTTTTAGTGCGTCGCATAAACTGATTGACTTTTTTAAGTATCTTGTTACTATCTGACTGACCCATCGATCCATGTCGAAGGAGGTCAATGACTGTCATAACCGACGGACGACGTAAGACACCCCGTTTGTCTTTCACTGTTGGTGCATGTAGCAAAGAATCAGAGTATTTTTCGAGTGAGTCTTCTAGTCCTTGAAGGATCAACTGCATTTGATGATGTCCCTTGATAAACTCATGAGCCACCTGAAGCTCTTCGCGCGAGATGACTTGTTTAAGTTGTGCCATGGCCGTCTTGGACCGAAGGATCATGGACAGGCATTCCATCCGGTTATACTTGACCGCTTGCAGAACGATGCTTGCTGAGCAAGTCTGACGCGTGGTGGGGTTGACAATATCGCCCAAGAGGGTGACATCTGCCTTGGCCGAATGAATAAGGTAATCTAATGCATGAGGATAGTCACCATTGGCAAGTAAGCAAAACAAGGATGTCTTGCGGCTCGAGTCGCGTCGGTTGACATCTGCACCACGCGAAACTAAAAGCTCAATGGCTTCATCCGGCGGTTGACAGAACCGAGCAGCGTAATGGAGCGGTGTCCACCCGTCACCGTCAGATGCGTTAGGATTTGCCTTATGGTTTAGCAAAGCTTCGAGACAGAGTAATGGCTGGTGGGGACAATGTAAAGGAACCATATGAATCGCTTGGACGTTATATATATTGCATGCAGTTGCATCTGCTCCATGGTCGAGGAGTAGTTTGACGATGGGTAATATGGAGTTTCTGTGGGTTCGTGCATTAGAAAGGACAAGGTGAAGCAGCGTACAATCCGTATCTGGATCTCTTGTGTTTAAGAGAGTGGTCAGGTCGATACCTTCGGTGTTTTCGATATAATATTGAAGTGCCTGTAGGTTGCCTAGTTCAGCAGCTTTCCAGATAGATATATCAGGTTTCGTCACGGGTGCTTCCAACTCAATGGAGATATGTCCATCTTCAATTTCAATTCCTGCTTGAATGACTCGACTATCCAGGATGTGATCATGAGGAGGAGGCTTGATATTATTGAGCAAAGCAAATGTACGACTGAATACAGTAGGCATAGCAGGTTGAGATAAAAGAAAAGAAAAAAGATAAAATTCATATCGGGATATTTTATATATTTTAGTTTAATCTAAGGCTCTACACACACACAGTGCCTTATTTGCTTAGATAAGACTGCAATGAAGGTGTCTTTTGTTATTCATGGATGACAGGATTCAAACTCCAGACAAATTTTCCGTAATTGTGCACAGCTTCTATTTTTTTCTCTCTTCTCTCTTTTTTTTTCTTTTTGACTGCGTACAGAATGGCCAGTAAAGGAACTGAAAAGACATTACAAAAGCTGAGAGAATCTGTCAATAATGGCAACTATTATGAAGCACATCAGATGTACAGAACAGTCGCTAGAAGGTAAATACACAAATATATAAAGCAAAAGTACTTAGAAAAAAAGGTAGATATAATAAGCAACAAAAATATAAAGACACTATTCATCTTCTTCACGATGGCGCCATTTTATTATTGCAACATAAACAAAATGGTTCTGGATCTGATCTAGCCAATTACATGCTGGACACGTACAAATCTGCCAATTTACCTGTAGATGAAGCATCATTAGGTAAATAAAGATATGAAAGAAAGGGAAAAAAAAAAAAAAAAACTTATGTCGCAAAAGACCGTATTGTCGAGATATTGAACTTGTTTCCACCAAATGAAGCTGGCCGAAAGACATTTATTAGTAATGCGATTAGGTAATGATTTTCTTTCTCTTTTGCTTTTATTAACGTGTTTCTTCAGATGGACAAAGAGTCATGAACAGTTTCCTGACGGAGACCCCGAGTTGCATGATTTTGTAGGCACCATGCTCTACCACGGTAATAGAAATAGAATAAGACATATATAAAGTACTGACATGTGCCAAAAAGAGAAAAAATATAGTCAAGCTGAGGAGCACTTGATTCTAGGAACAGACCATAGTGCAGCTTTATTAGGTACATTGGCTTATGAATGGGCTACAGAAAAAAAGCAGACGAATAAGGGCTTTTTCCTTGCAAGAATAGTATTACAGTAAGTATATTATCATTATTACTAAAGGTAATAACAACCTTGCTTTAGATATTTGGCATCCAAGGATATCCACTATGCCAATCTAGCCTTTACCAACTTTATCAAGGCAGGATCACAGCCAAAGGTAGCCGAATCTAAAGTACGCCGTGCACCTGCAGACGAGCCTACCCCTGTGGACGTTTACAGCGATTCCTGGATCAACTTTACACAATTGGTGCTGCTGACCGTACAGCGCGATGCATCAGATTTATTCCAACAGCTCAGATTAAATTACCAGGGCTTGTATGGATCAGAACCCCACTTTATTGAACTCATGGACGATATTGGACTCGTGTACTTTAATATTCCCAAGCCAAAGAAGCAGGCTAATATGATTCAGGAAATGATGGCCAGTTTATTTGGCGGTGGTGGAGGAGCACCTCAGATTGGAAGTGCACCCAAAGTGGATCTTGATTAACAAAATAAACGCTTTATTATTATTTTTCAACAATAAATTTACCAAATCTTGTGTTCCAAACCCATTTCGTTATTGGGAGACAAGCCAATACAGGCTCTAAAGAGGTTTTCAATAGCTGAACGTTGACGGCTCAAAGCGTTGACAACGGGGGTACCAGGAGTAACCATGGGAGCCTTGAGCATGTAACTCAAGATGGACAAGACACTATGGAAAGAGCTGTACTTGGTCATTTCACCCGTCTTGTATTCGATACGAGTCATCAACTCAGCCATGACAACAAGATCAATGATCAAGGGAGAAGCCAACAAGGAATCTTCACAGACATTATATAGAGAGATGGATTGACGACCGCCCATGAAGATATCACATTCGTACTCATCCAGGGCACGCTTAGAGTCACCTACGGAAGGAACATACTTGATGACAACAGTATGATCAGGGTGCTCATCCTTTTCGTAAAGAATATGGTTGGCAGCGACCATATCATCAACAACAGTAGACTTGGAAATTTCTTTGGATCTGAATTGCTTGTGAGAAGACAAGTTCTTACCATCATTATTACCCAAATGGTTGTAAGAGGTGATAGCCACAGGCTTAATACCAGCATTGACCAAAAAGTCAACCAAGGCAGACTTCATCTTGGTTTGACCAGATTTGAAATCATCACCGCCAATGAAAGCGCGGTGACGTTCTGCCAATTGAACAAGGCCAGGAACGAAAGTGTTTTGAGGAGAACCATTGATAAAAGGAACGCCTTCCTCAATACAGGCCAAGGCAAAGATGGAAGAAGGAGCAATCTCGGAATGAGATTCATTGACTGACTTCAAAAAGTTATCAGCCGTGTCATTGACACCTTCCAACAGCTCAGCATATCTTTCCGTATTGGCTGTCCAGATAACAACGACCTTGTCCAAATGGTTGGCTGCCTTGAAATCACGAATGTCCTTACGGATTTGATCAGCATGGGCACGCTTGTCTTCGCCAGGGATCAAGTTATCAGCACGGTCAGATTGATTGGCAGCAATAAAGTCAGGATAGTAAATAGAAGGAAGTGGTACCATCTGACGCATCTCATCGGCCACTTGGCGTTGAAGGTCATAGTCGAGCACTTGAGCACGTTCCATGGCATCAGCCAAGTTCTTACCTGAGATATCCCAACCACCAATGACAAAATCAGTAGGGTTGACCATAGGCAAGACCTTGTTCAGAGGGACATAGACATCATTTCCCTCGGCGTCTACGCCCAAACGGACAGTGGAAGCTTGAGTGACAGAGCCAAAGTAATTGGGTTTTTGAATTCCTCTTTTGGTGCGCCAAGAGATATCGTTCTTGTGAGCCAAAATGGAAGCTGTCAAGGTAGATCCATTATTGCCACCCCAACCGACCATCATCAAACTGTTTGATATTAGCTTATATTCTTTCCTCATGTCACAAATAACTTACCCAAGACGAGGTACTTTGCAGTCAGTCTTGAGATCGAATGAGGTTTCAGTAGGTTCAGCCAATAAGGACCCATCGGACTGTTTGGTGATTAAAGTGTTTGAATAAGAATACTTGCTCAAGATGTGCTCATCAGTGTACGTGACATTAGGTGAGTTTACTTTGATCAAGTGTGGAGTGATCGCAGTGTTATTAGTAGTTGTAGTAGTTGTAGTATCAGTAGAAGGGGCCATGGTAGTTAATGTTCTATTTTGGGTCGGTCACTGCAGCGTTGATAGCCTCTGTGGGGGTTATGAGTCGAAGCGAGAAGATTTGCAAACTAGTAAAAAAATCATGAGGACCTTGTTTTCTATTTCATGCTGTTATAAACTTTACCGTTTTGAAAAAGTTGAATAGAGTTTTCCAAGAAAAAAAAAAGACGCTTTAGAAGAAGCAAGGGTTTTTAAAAGGAAAAAAAAAGATAAAGAGAATAAAATATACACCCCCCATCATTTTATAGTTTTTTTAAGGTCGCTATTTCTATCCGGTTACTTGTTACACATGTCCTTAATTGATTACACGTATCTTTTTCCCACTTTCTGTCACACTCAAGAACACAATAATCAGTAGTCATGCCAAGCTGTCGTTTTCTACATTTCCCCCAAAAAAAACTTTATATTTTTAAAATACATTTTTAAGGGAAAAATAGATGATAGGAATACTCATGATCACAGCTAAAATAGAAGAGATATAGAGCATCCGTGATTCATCAAATCTAAATAATGTCAAGTATGCTAAACCGGGCAAGAGAAAACCTAAAGATACACGCGTCGTAAGTATAGTGATATAGGACTTTTAACTGGGTCGTACCTAAAATGATGGTCGAAAATCCTCCGAGAACATCATATACTTTTCCAAGTGAGTCAAGTGTACATCCAGCATATAAAATGATGGCAAACACACCAAATGTAATCAGGTAATGTTGTTTATTTGTTGCACCATGAGTTGATATACCAAACATCGTCATTGTAGCCTCTCGACAGGGGTGAATACAAAGACTAGGGGGGTAACATATGATTATGATTGCTATTAAAAACACATCTATATCTTACGGTAGAGTAAGCACCATAAATAAGCTTAAAGTGATGTTGATCCATTGGATGATAAAGTCATCTCTTGGGAAATTGAGCAAAACATTGTCTTGCACCAACTTACCAAAGCATAAATAGGCCAAGACTCCAAACGCTACATTGATAATGTACGCGATTAGAATTGCTAAATAGCATGTTTTTGACCATAGTGCTCGTTTAGAGGTAACGTAGATACCAAACAGATTAGGAGCACAGCCAAAACATAGACTCATGATGGCCAATCCTCTGAATGGATCTGTCGGCATTGTCAAACGAAAATCAACATTATCAGAATCATAATAAGCTGGCACACGAATCAACACACCAAGTGTCATGGACAAAAGAATAAATAAAGATACAGCAGACCATTTGGCCAAACAGGCTGTTGAGCGTGTTAAGCTCAATGGTAACGTCTATTAAAGATTTTTAATATGACATCATGTAGATAAGAACACCTACGCAACATAAACCGAATACCAGGACCACATTCCGTTTGTTGATATAGCAAGCAATTCTCGGAAACATAGATTTCAGCAGCTGAGGCATCATTTCTCCCAAGACTATACATACACAATACACTCAGCATTACTGTTTACTTTATGCATAAGCACGTACTAATATAGTAAGACGCAGCTGTTCCTGCTGTATGAAGGAATATAATACAATTGAGAACAATTGCACCTGCTTTCCCAGTCAATGCTCGACAGAGTTCCATGAGGTTGAATGTGTGTGTTCTTTGTCCGCACAGGATAGTGATATGCATGATCATGCAGGTCATGTAGGCAACCCCAACCGAAAGTGCCAAACCAAGCCATATGCCGCAAAGATGAAGGGCAAGCGGCAATCCTAGAATACCAGTGCCCATCATGGCATTAATTAGATTTAGAGAGGCGCCCCAGAAAGAACAAGATTGATGGTCATCTTTGATGTCAATCGAACTGTATTGAGCCTTGTCATTGGAAACAAACGTACTTGTTTCGCTTGAAGAGTGCACGTCGTAATAGCAGTAGTCCTCTTCATCACCGCTTACGGTCATTGTATCTCGGTATAATATGGATATGCTACTAGAGCTAGATGATCCGTCTGTGTCAAGGTATCGAATATCTTTGTTCATATGTGTTTATGCGTGTTTGTAAAAGAAAAAGAAAGGGGAAATAACAACTAAGATGGTAAATGCTAAATAATATCAAGATACACAAACAAATATAAACAATAAAGCATGCATTGTGATTGTCTGTTTAATCCTTTTTGATGCGTGAAGAGAGAGAGAGAGTTGCATACTATATGAGTAGCCTGAGGTTATTTTTATAAGCAATGTAAAAGAGAGTAGCAGTTAGTCATTAACTGGAAGATAAGATGAAAAATAAGTCTCTACTTATTAAAATTCATGACTGACTGCACTGAGCTAAAATAGCTACAGTTCTCCAAGTTTAAGAATTTTTTTGTTAATATTGCTCTTGATCAACAAAATTGTCTTTCTGAACTTTTTACTTCTTTTACAACATTGAGGTAGTGCTGGTATGAAAAGAAGAGTAGCCCTTTAAAAGGGTATTCCTGCATACAGAAAATATTTAATTTCCAACAAGTAGATCCTTTAATCCTGCCCCGCCGTAGAAAAAAGTCACTCTTTCTCATTTTCCCCTCTTTTCTTCCCCACATGAGCGAAAAAAGAAAGAGAGAACGATCTGAATCAGTCGAGGAAGAGGAATGGGAAGCACCACCACTTAAAGTAGAGCTTGATCAAAAAGCAAGAATGTTAAATGTATATACTGATGAGATTGAAATTAGACTATTCCAACTTCCAAATTACAGGCCTATTCTGTAGGCAGACAAAAGAAATCAGCATTTGAGAAACGCAAGGAAGAGATTGATCTAAAGAAGCAGGCATGCCTACAAAAACATGTTTTCTTTATTGTTTTCTAATCGGGACATAATACAGCAAGAATCTTTGGAGGCTGCCAGAGTTTATGCAGAATTTGTAGCATCTTTCCAAGAACCAGTGTCATACAAATTAGGAACAACTTCATTTGTTAAAGCAGGCACCCTAAATCCTGCAACAAGTTAAATAAGATGTTATATCAGAAATAATAGAAGACTTATTATATTGTAGATACCATCAATAATGCACCTCCTTCTTCTTCCCTTCCTCCTAAACCGATGTTCAAAGCGATGTCATTTGTCAAGGCTAGTGAAAGCACATCGAAATTATATTCACTTGATCAATATCAATCAAAGGAAGAAGACGACGAAGAAGACGATGATGAAGATCAATTAGCCAAATTAAAGAAATCCAAGTCTCAGAAGCGTAACTTGGATACGTTTTTGGAGGAGATCAAAAAGTAAATGATAGAGTTGATAAGCAATATCCCTCTCTAATGCCCTTGACTAGAGAACAGCAAGTTCGTAACAGTGCGAAGTCATCAGAGACTATAACAACGACTGGTATACTATTTATTGCACGCACATGTTTTATATACAACTTGTTTTTCTAAATCATTGAGATCAGACGATTCTATCTTTGGCGACGGTGATCCTTTATCGACCAACTTATTTGTGAGTAACATTCATCCAAGTGTGACCGAGTTGGGCCTCTGTCAGGAATTTGGAAAATACGGTCCGATTGCATCTGTCAAGATCATGTGGCCACGTACTCAAGATGAAAAAGATAAAGGAAGGAACAACGGGTTTGTTTGCTTTATGAAACGAAGTGATGCAGCAGAAGCAATCAAGAACCTGAATGGAATTGAGCTCGAAGGGTTCAAATTGCGTGTTGGATGGGGCAAGGCGGTTGCTTTACCGGCAGAACCTGTATTTGGTATATTTATCAATGAATCCCATATACATACACACATGTTAATGTTTGTTACTCAGTGTTGGAAAAGGCAACGACAACCACCAAGACAGGACTTCCTTTTAATGCACAGATAGATCCTGGTCAACCGGGCGTGGTAAGTGCAAATATTTTTGTCTCTACTTGTACTAACTCTTTTTACTGTTAGAACTCACGGCCGAGAGCAGTTGTTCGTGTTACAAAACCGACGGATATAAACACACTTCGACTTATACACAGAACGATTGAACGTGTGCTCGTACATGGGCCGATGTTTGAGGTATGAAAACTTAAGTAAAAATGGACATGTCTAACGAGCCAAAAACAGGAGATTATCATGCAGAGAGAGCAAAATAATCCACAATTTAAATTCTTGTTTGATAATATAGTAAGTGAAAGCATTCTTAAAAGGGATCTGTTGGCTAGAATATAGTGTATAGTCACCAGAGCACATCTATTACAGATGGAAGCTATATTCAATGTTACAAGGAGACACAAAGTCTCGATGGAACGATGAACCATTTCAAATGTTTGAAGGAGGTGCTTGGTGGATACCACCTGAGCTACCATTTGTAGATGAGGTTTGAAGAAGTGAAAATTGATATTTTAGATACTAAAACAAAAACAGTACACAGAAGATCCAGGTTTTGATACAGAAGATGAACAAGCAGAAAATGAAAAAGTAGCCAAGGGTATGTTGGGAAGGATAGCTAAACAAAGATTGGCTGTTATTTTGAGGGAAGTTACATTTCAAAGAGGAACCATTGCTCGAGCGATGGCATTTGCTATTGATCATTCTGATGCAGCTACAGAGGTATTTTATATATCTGCTCCAATGAACACGTTACCGACTTTAATAGATTGTGAGCATTCTTTGCAAATCAATCCTTGTACCCGACGTACCATTATCGGTGAAACTAGCAAGACTATATCTGATTTCTGATATTCTACATAACAGCAGTGTGCATGTATCAAATGCATGGAAGTATCGCGTAGAGTAAGGCTCAGTAGTAAAAAAAAAAGGTTGTATTGGTTATTCACATAGAGGTCTAGGTTTGAATCCCAATTACCGGCACTATTTGAGCATTTCAATTCAATTTATCGATCCATCAACGCACGGTTAAAAGCAGAACAAATGAGGGTAATTGGACTATTATTATAGTGATTAAAGCCACTCACATCGTTTTGTAGAAATACATTTTTGCAGTAATAAGTGTTTGGGAGAACTGGATGATCTTTCCAAAGTATTACACAGATCAATTAACTAGGATATTTCTAAGAAAAGGTGATGGTACTTTAGAAACAGTTAATACACAAGAGGTAATGATGAATGAAGACATTGATGGTGAACCCATGGAGGACATTGATGGTGAGCCAATTGAGGACATTGATGGTGAGCCAATTGAGGACATTGACGGTGAGCCAATTGGGGACATTGACGGTGAGCCTATGGAAGATATTGATGGTGAACCCATTGAAACAAAAGAACAAGAAAAAGATAAGAGAAAACTATTATCAGAGATTGATGACATGTTTTGCATAAAATAATAAAGCAACAAAAAGGGAATAGCAATGGACGATCCCATTTTCTGTTACACATTTGGAATAAAAAAATTTTATAAATTCAGTCGTGCAACCTGTCATGGAACTTGTTTTTTCTTTTATTTCTGTTGTAAAATAAATAACTCATTATGGGATTACTCTCTCATGGACAACTCAGATTCGATCCCTTAAAGCCAGTTATTTTGAGAGGCTTACCAACAGAAGATGGGTCCACTCTATTTGCTGGTAACGTTGTGTTGACCTTGACCAAGACAACCAAGATATCCAATGTTTCTGTCACTTTAAGGTCACATGTTATAACATATTGGCCAGAAGGTAAATGCCAAATAGATTTTATATATATAAAACTAACATAAAAATCATAGGGATTGGTTCAAGGGGTACTCGTTTAACCCATGAAAAGATGCTTGGAGAACAGATAGTACAGATAGTTGCACCCAACCAAGAAAAGAACAACCTAGTTTTACAAGCGGGTACACATCGATTTTCGTTTGCTTTTGTGATTCCCAATGTAAAAAGGAGAAATAGAAATATAAAAAAAAAGATAGAAAAGAGAGCAAACAATCAGAAAGGATATTAACCAGACCATAATGTAGTCTACGGTAGCGACAATTGAGGATACATTTGGACGAGTGAAGCACGTGATCGAAGCTCAAGTACAACGACCTGGTATTGCGATGCTTTCAAACTGGACAGTATCGAAACCTGTGCTTATATTACGAACCTATATGTCTAATTCACTATTGACGAATAATTCGCTTGCTACCCTTTCTAGAACATTTGAGAAGCATATGGTCTATGGTGATATAGAAGTGGTGATTGAGGCAGCTGCCTTTTCATCAGGAGATCTATTCTATATTCGCATGGTGATTGAGCCACAACTGAAGCATACTCGTATTGAGCATATGGAAGTGAGTTGCATTGAGTCTAGAAAGTATTGTGTGCCAGAGATGAAAGCATGGAGAACAGACCATACAGTCTTTCCGATGCCATTTGCGGGATCAGTTCGATTGGCCGAGTTTGGAGAAGTGAATGATACGACGGATGAATTAAGGCCGATATTTGATAAACATGGACAAGGCATTGACCTTGTTCATGACTTTGCTCATCGTCTAGCCTTCTTTTCACCTACCTGCCAACAGCATATACGCCATACGACCTATATACGAGAAATACTGATTAAGCATCATATAGAAATTAACTTGACATTATCCTATGTGGATGATGAAGGACATCGACAATTCCTGAGTAGAAATAATAGTAATACAAGTATAGAATCCATTGAACTCAGCGGTACATTAACACCACCACCTCAAGCACATATATCAAACAACATACGTACATTACCTTCTCATCATCATCATCAAAGACATTTTTCATCCCCTTTACCCACACCAACAACGAGTGACGATCGTCATCAATGGCATCTACTTCGATTGAACAAGACCAAGATTGAAAAAGAAAAGGATAGAAAGAAAGAAACGATTACACTTGATTCACCCATCACTGTATTTGATTGTAGACTAAAAGAAGATTATGGAAGATTACCGAGTTATAACGAAATAGGAATTAAACCTACCGAAATAGATAAAAAGATACCAAAGAACAAGAATGATGATGTCAAAATGGATCAACCTCAACCTCATCCTTATCTTTGTTCATGCTATTATACGTTTTGTAAGGATATGGAATTAGCATCTCAATCACTATATTTATCAACCAAGACAGCCACGCCCTTAATGGATCAACAACCTCCACCCGCTTATTCAATCCCGAGTGATACAAAATAAAATAAAAATTATATAAAATATAATAAATTAAAAAACGTGAATACAAAAAAATCAGTGCACATACCCTTAATGTCAGGCCATAGCTTATATAACACGTGTGTATAGTAAAGACAAGAGAAGATGGAGAGGAGGAACCATGATCAAATAGGTACAGGTGAGTGTTTATTATATATTACCTTACCTCGTTTCATTCATTGTCACAATTTCATGTTTTGCCTAGAACCTGTCCGACCCTTTTCTCTCCCCCTCCTTTTCTCACTTTTGCTTTCTTTTGTTCTCTCTCTCGTTCTCTCTCTCTTCCTCCCTTAAGATTGATGTAATACTGACCACGCGTATAAACTAACGGGGCACCCGTATATTACAATTATTATTATCATTTCGGGAAATGTAATAATATATTGTAACCTGTCAATTGATATAAAAGAAAACAACGGTAGATCATTCCCTTATTTTCTTTTTTTTTTTTTTTCTTTCCTTCTCTTTTATCGTTTTTTATTATGGACTATTCTACTCATGACACTAAGGAATTAAATAAAAACAACCAACCATTACGTAAAAGAACAAGAGCAACACCAGAGCAATTGTCAGTGTTGGAAAAGACATTTACAATCAATCAAAGCCCAAACAATAGAATGCGTGAACAATTATCAAGAGAATTGGGTATGTCTGAACGGTCTATCCAGGTCTGGTTTCAAAATCGTCGTGCAAAAGTGAAAAATATGGCAAAAAGATCGTCTATGCTACACAATGAAACACTAAGGATGCAATATGATGCTGCTAATGCTGCTGCTGCTGCTTGCCAAGCTGCACTCTTTCAACAAAATCCATTGGCCGCCCAGGATCCTGTGAAATCAAACCCTGAATTGTATTACTATTACTATTACTATTACTTTAACCAACAGAAGCAAAAACAGATCAATGCTCATCTCAGATCTATCCTCATTCCTCCTCCACCTCCACCTCCTCCAGTACAGTCCTCATCTTCACCACAACCACTCTTTACGGACTTTGATAGAAAGAATCGCATGCGTGCTCACACTGTTGGACCTTACCCTGTATATCACCGACCTCAATTTCAAAGAGGCACATCTGTAGATATTAATCATAATGACCTTATCCTTGATGACAATACCAATTTCATAAATAACAACAACAACTCATTCGTCTCTTTTCAGCAACAAATGAATAGTCCTTGGACTGATATATCTTTTTGTAAGCTCATCCTATAACAAGTATTCGTCTCACATCTCTAACACACATATGATACACTCACACACAGATGATGATGTTTCTTCTTCCTCTACTGCTACCACAACATCAGCGGCTACTACCAATCCTTCAAATTCACTCACAGTCCCTATCGCCATGCATACATCACATTCTTTTTCTACCGAGTCACTTCAAATCGGTACTTGGAAAAGAGTGAAATTCGAAACAAGTGATCTCACTTGTTCATTTGATAAACAGCGTCATATGTTCATCTGGTGTATTCAAGATGGTGCTTGTAGCTTTAAGATGGAATTTCATCAGGACGCTGTTCAAAGTATTACCTTAATCCCTATCAACACGTGGTCTCGTCTGGAATTTCAAGTGATTCCTCAGCAAATCTCGTTTTATATGAATAATGGTCAACAATGGGTTCAATGTAGAGATTATACCGAGGATAGACAGGCCTCGGTGATCAGTCTTCATCACCTCGAGGGTCCTACTCTCCTGTTAAAATCGGAGTTGCAGCAACTGGTGCAGGAAAACACAAGAATTGCTTCTGTTTATAAATAAGTGCCACTCCCCTTTTTTTTCTATGTATGTATGACAAATGTATATTAAGCCTCTTTATGATTTGCGCGGTATTTAAATATGGTATTATAAAGTGTGTCTGAAAAACTTTTTTGCTTTTTTTTTTTTCTTAACAACTGTTGGTTATTCTCCCTTAACTCTTGAATAAAACAACACAAACCCCCTTTTCGTATTAATCAAACATGAGAGAAGTTATTTCTATTCACGTCGGTCAAGCTGGTGTTCAAATCGGTAACGCCTGTTGGGAACTCTACTGTCTTGAACACGGTATTCAACCTGATGGTCATATTCCCCAGAATCTTCAAGCTGATGACAACTCCTTTGACACTTTCTTCAGTGAGACCAGCTCTGGTAAGCACGTTCCTCGTACCGTCATGGTTGACTTGGAACCTACCGTTGTTGATGAAGTTCGTACTGGTGCCTACCGTCAATTGTTCCATCCTGGTAAGTTTTTGTAAAAAGCACATTAGCCTCATCATCATCACTAACTTGCTTGTTCTATAGAACAATTGATTACCGGTAAGGAAGACGCTGCCAACAACTATGCTCGTGGTCACTACACCGTTGGTAAGGAACTTGTTGACTCTGTCTTGGACCGTATTCGCAAGTTGGCCGATAACTGTACTGGTCTTCAAGGCTTCTTGGTCTTCCACTCCTTTGGTGGTGGTACCGGTTCCGGTTTCGGTGCTCTCTTGATGGAACGTCTTTCTGTTGATTATGGCAAGAAGTCCAAGCTTGAATTCTCTGTTTACCCCGCACCTCAGGTTGCTACCTCTGTTGTCGAACCCTACAACTCCATCTTGACCACCCACACCACCTTGGAACACTCTGATGTTTCCTTCATGGTCGATAACGAAGCCATTTATGACATCTGTCGCCGTAATTTGGACATTGAACGTCCCTCTTACCTCAACTTGAACCGTTTGATTGCTCAAGTCGTCTCTTCCATCACTGCTTCTCTTCGTTTCGACGGTTCCTTGAACGTTGACTTGAATGAATTCCAAACCAACTTGGTTCCTTACCCCCGTATTCATTTCCCCTTAGTTACCTACGCCCCTATCATCTCCGCTGCCAAGGCTTTCCATGAACAAATGTCTGTTCAAGAAATCACCAACGCCTGTTTCGAACCCAACAATCAAATGGTCAAGTGTGATCCTCGTCATGGCAAGTACATGTCTTGTTGTCTCTTATACCGTGGTGATGTTGTCCCCAAGGACACCAACGCTGCCATTGCCAACATCAAGACCAAGCGTACTATTCAATTCGTTGACTGGTGTCCTACTGGTTTCAAGGTCGGTATTAACTGCCGTCGTCCTGCTGCTGTTCCCGGTGGTGACTTGGCTGAAGTCAAGCGTGCTCTCTGTATGCTTTCCAACACCACTGCTATTGCCGAAGCTTGGGCTCGTCTTGATCACAAGTTCGACTTGATGTACGCCAAGCGTGCCTTCGTTCACTGGTACGTCGGTGAAGGTATGGAAGAAGGTGAATTCTCTGAAGCTCGTGAAGACTTGGCTGCTCTCGAAAAGGATTACGAAGAAGTCGGCTCCGACTCTTTGGGCGATTCTGAAATTGAAGACGCCGAAGAATACTAATTCATTACAATTCATTAATAAAAACTCATCGTTTTTGTCTAACATTAATATTTCATTATATATGTCTCTTCCGAAATTTACATTCGGATTTTTAATAATCGTCGGGTTAGTTACGTCAATCTTTTCATCACTCTTTCAGACGGGGTTTGTTCGTGGTCGCTTAATGCGGATGACGGTTTGCTACTCAAGTTGGCTATAGGTCATGCACAAGCCAGCCAGTCTTCCGCAATAAGTCTGATGCTGAATCAGGAAAAAAAGCCTATGACAGTGTTCATCCTACGTACCTTGCCCAAGTCTTTTTACACTTTGGCATCCCTTCAACTGTGATTCATAGTTTGACTGACTTATTTTTTGACACGACTCTGCGTTTGAATATTAATGGCTTTCTCTCACCAGGCGTCTTAAAACGTCGTGGCCTACGACAAGGCGATCCCATTTCGTCTGTCTTGCTCAACCTTGCTTTTGAACCTTTACTCCGTAGAATATTGCAAGATACTCATTTCAATAACTTTGCTTTTCTTCGCTCTCCCTTGTCTCGCCCTGATGATTTTGACCTTCAAGCAGTCAAGCTCATAGCCTATGCGGACGATGTAGTTTGCCTCTTGCGCGATCCGTCCGACATATCTAGGCTTAACACTCATTTGATAATTTACTCATTAACATCTAATGCTAATATCAACTTTCACAAGACAGTGATTATTTCTCTGACGCCCACCTGCCTCTTCTCCCACATTATGAAATGCTCTTTTAGCGAATCACGTCACTCAGTGGCACAGCCGTTTGTCTTCCTTCATCTGTAACGTATCTAGGCTGTCCTCTACATAGCTCTACCTCGCGACGTAATGTCTTTCTCGCTGAATTGCTTACAAAGCCGGAACATTGTTGTCGTATTCACTCCAAATAACCCTTTCTGTATACGGCAGAGTCACGGTTTTGACCTCGTTGCCAATGTCCAAACTATGGCACGTTCTCCGGCATACTCCTGTCTTTACTCATTGTATGCGCGAGATCAAGTCAGTCATGATCGTGGTTTAGATGTAGGTTCACGAATCAAAGGGTACATGCGATACGATGATCCTTGGAAAGCTTTGAAGCATAGTCTGTATACCTCTGTATGTATAACGAACCAACACAATACCTTCCAAGCGTATATCTATTGCTTTCAAAAACTGTCTCATCCAGTGAAAACGGTTTATAAGAATGGCGCAAGACAGTTACGAACAACTAATGGCGCATTTGCCTGTGACAATCAAAGTTGTATCGCTGTTCAAGCAAAAAATGTTGTAAAAGGAAGAGATACCTTATCTGCAATGGCAGTTAGTTTTTTCGGTTTAGCAACACTCCTTTTTGATGCAACCTTTTCTCAGTTTGATTCGCAAGTCAGTCAATCCAGCACTGAAAAGTTTAAAACGAATGCCGCTTCTTTCTTTACTGCAAACCAAGATTGACCTTTTGTTGATGACAGCAATATTTCTTGAAAGGCAAGTTCCCCTTTGGTAGCCTAATAACTTGTGCTGAGAGGGTGAATGAACTGCAAGTCCCAAAATTGAGACACAAACAGATGTAAATATGAAATAATTCCTTTTTCACTTACAAAGTATAAAATATTTGTTGTTAAACAGTCAGTGTTTTCAAGTTTAAACTGGGCTGCTTATGCATGTTCAATGAATAAAGGAAGGAGAAAAATAAACTTTTGGGTCAAAAAAAGATATAAAAAAGGAGTTTTTTCTTTTATCTCCTTTCTTTTCTTTATGCTTGGGGAAAATCTTTTGGTTTCTCTTCAGAGCACGATCCTTCAATACGCATTTCTATCCTTCGGGACTTT